GGGCACCCCCTCTTACCCAGCCAGATCAGCCGAATCAACCCTGGCGATCAATGGGGTGACAGATGTCGCAGCCAGATCGCCCTCACATCCAAAACCACCCTGAACCGCAGCGCTATTTATAGCTCCGTGTACCCAACGCGCTCACCTCACGGTGCTCTCCCACCCCGCGGGCCGCGGGGTACAGCCGACAGAACCATCGCGCCTCAGCAGAAAAAAACACAGCTAAACGCAACAATTCGCCGTTTTTAGCCGTTTCTTTGCGGCGCGGCGTTCCTCCCGGCAGCCCTTGCGGTATGCAGATCGCAGTGCTGCTATTGGGATCCTCTGTGCCATCCCTGTAGGTCTCTAGTTTCTCCTTTCCCCTTCCCCGCAGCGCTCGCTGCTGCTGCGGGACAGGTGAGCGCGCTCAGCTCGCTGTGTCTTCGCTTCTTCTTGCTTTGGGATCCTCTGTGCCATCCCTGTAGGTCTCTAGTTTCTCCTTTCCCCTTCCCCGCAGCGCTCGCTGCTCCTGCGGGACAGGTGAGCGCGCTCAGCTCGCTGTGTCTTCGCTTCTTCTTGCTTTGGGATCCTCTGTGCCATCCCTGTAGGTCTCTAGTTTCTCCTTTCCCCTTCCCCGCAGCGCTCGCTGCTCCTGCGGGACAGGTGAGCGCGCTCAGCTCGCTGTGTCTTCGCTTCTTCTTGCTTTGGGATCCTCTGTGCCATCCCTGTAGGTCTCTAGTTTCTCCTTTCCCCTTCCCCGCAGCGCTCGCTGCTCCTGCGGGACAGGTGAGCGCGCTCAGCTCGCTGTGTCTTCGCTTCTTCTTGCTTTGGGATCCTCTGTGCCATCCCTGTAGGTCTCTATTTCCCCTTCCCCGCTGCGTTTCCAGGTGATGCGGGAACAGGTCCGCGCCGCGCTCCGGGTGGTACCCGAGCGAACTGATGGGCAAAGGGATGAGCTCCAGCGCTGCCCACGGGACAGCTCGGATTGATTCCATCCCGTTTGCCAAGAGCCTGTCCCCGCGGGGAAGGGTGGCAGGGTGGGAGGGGATCCCTCCCGAGCTCCGTTTGCTGTGCCTGGAGTTCGGGATGTGCCTCGGGGTGGTGCAGGGTAGCACTGCGGGATGCAGGATGCGGGATGCAGGATGCGGGGTGCGGGATGCAGGGTGCGGGGTGCGGGATGTGGGAAGGGAAAATCGCGCTCTGGAAGTTTGGATCTGCGGGGCAGCAGGCTCAGCTGGTCCCCTGACTCTCTTCACCAATCTGCCCGTCCGTGTGGCTAAGCTGGGAGTGAGAACTTCTTGCGCAGGTATTTATGATCCCTCATTCCCCCTGTTAGCCCAGGTGGCCCTTGTAAATCATAAGGGGGTAAATTCAGATTTTTTTTTTCCCCCCCAAATTCCCTTTTTTTCCCCCTAGCTGCAGTGTCAGGCTGAGGGAAACTGACAGCAAGCTACTGCCACTTTCCCTCCCTCTGGTGAAGGGGAGAAGCTCTTTGCCCATCCCCAGGGTGCTCTTCCCATCAGATTTCAGTTCACAAGTTGAACTTTCTCTTCCAGTGTGGCATGGCAGGCTCAGTCTGAGGAACCAGAATGCTATAGCTCCCTTCAAAACCAGATGATCCCCTGGTATTTACAAGACAAGCATGTCTTTACCTTCTGTTTGCCCTTGCTGTGTTGGTGTGTGCCTGACATCAGTGAGTTGTTTATCTCCTGTCAGCTGGTCTCAAGAAGGTGCACTGAAGAAAAGTGACTCTTCTGTTTAATTTTTTTAAATACAAGTTTAAAATCAACTTTGGCTTTTTTTTCCTTCTGTGAATTTAGCTGTATAACAAGCAGCTCCTGTTTAATTCTGTTCTTTTCTGTACTCCACACTGATAATTTTCTGCAGCCTCTTTGTCCGTTTTGTCATGCAGTGCTATATTTATCAGCAGTATAGATAGTACTTGGCAATGTTTTAGTTCCCAGGGACTTACCTAAGAGCAAATGGAGGCCCCTGAGCAGGCATGGGCCAAATATCTTGGCTTGTTTGGATTCCCATGGTCAGAGGCAGTCTCATATTTTGTGTTGCTTTCATGCTTGTTGGCTAACAATCAGATCATTTGCCTCGTGTGAGTTCAAAGTCTGTTTTCCCTCATCTTATGAAGGAGCTCTTGGAATGTTAGGAACTGGAGGTTATTGTTCACATGCCAACAGCCTCTTTTCCAGGATTACTTGAACTGTGGATTGCAGTGGTGAGAAATCTCCTTACAGAGGGAAAACAGCTCTCAGCTGCAGTGAGGATTTGCTGGTGTGGAGTTCTGCATATGAGATGTCAGTATGAGGAAATTTCATTGCTGTCTTGGCCT